GAAATCAGCAAATAAAGAATGTGATTCTTTGTCCTTTTGCTTGAATATTTGGCGTGTAATAAGATTGTTGTGATTCTGGGGACTGAGGAGATAAGAAACTTCCCTTTGTAGTCATACCTTCCATGAACACACATTTTGTGAAAAGAGCAAACTCGGTCACCCTATGCCAAATCAGCAACAATCTTGAGCTGGGCCTAGAAACCAAATGTCAAACCTGTATAAAAGATGCACAATTCAGAGGAAAGCAGTGAACTGGAAAAATTGATTTCCTTGGTGACAGAGCTGAAATCAGTGTCCCCAGTCTGGCTAATCCAAGGACACAGAGTATAGGGTAGGGCCTGCCTGAGTACTTGGCACCATTAATTTTTTTTTCTTACTCTTTTAATAAAGTCTCTCATTGTTTTAGTGGCTCCGTGGTTAATTTTTTTCTAATGAGACTAGGTTAACTAAAATCATCTGACATGGAAAAGGGGGAGGTAAGGTTGAAAAGGAACCTAATTAGCAAGTTAATTATAGCAAGCAAAAAAGTGCAGTGGTTATATAAATAAGCTATTGTTATGCGCATGCAAGTTGGGCCTTGTCAGGGGACTTGCCAAGGTTTAGAGGTCAGAGGATCCATGTAATTAGGTGTTTAGGAAAAAAATAAATAAAAGCAAAACAGCCACCAGAATTAGGAATGGCTGATGAGCCACTAGCAGAAATGCCTTATTAAACTGGGGCTGTACTGCTGAATGGGTTGTTGGAGCTGCGTCAGGGATTCCAAGGAAGAGTAGTCCCCCACTCCCCAGCCCCAAAAGCTGGCTGGAACCAGAGCCTACAGAATTGCTGATGAGGAAAGTTTAAAGGCCTGATCACAAGGGTCCCTGGACCACAGAGGTGGCAGTGGGGCTGGTAATGTCACTATGCTGGGCAGCAAGAAGAAATACATTGTTAATGGCAACTCTGGGATTAAGGCCCAGGTGAGGCTAAGCTCTTATTTACCAGTCTTGCCGCTGCTATAGCCATTATTGTAAAAAGCCAGCTGCTTATACTCTTTTTCCCCTCCTTTCCTGCTTTCATCCGTCCCTCTGGCATAAGGTGAACTACCCCTCTTTTAACAGTCTCTTTTCCTCCTTTGCCTTAATGCCTGTTGGAATTAGGCAGTTCTCTCTCATGTGGAAAAGGAGGATTTCTTTAAAAGATCCTGGTTCCAGACAAGGTAGGAAAGTTAGGGTTATAATCTACTAAGGTACCACAATTGGGGTGGGCAGATTACAAAACCACTCCATTACAAAGTGGACTGTTGAGTGAAGAATATATTGGTGTTTAATTATTGAGAGGAGGTAGACACCAGGGAGCCACTTAATTCATGTTCTAGTTGTCAGAGAAAGATACTTGTTTCCCGGGGAAAATTGTGTAACTTATATTTAAGTGGTTAATCTTGCTCTAATATTTTTCTGTCTTAAAGAAACTTGACTTCAGTGTCTAACCAATAAGCAAGGTTTTAGAACCCTATGTTCTAAGTGGATAAAGCCTTGCACAACCTAGTCTTCTTTAGTCCTAAAAGATAGCATGAACTTGTCCCAGGAAGGAGGGATTACTGTAAATAGAAAACACTATAGAGAAGACAGCTCAGCTCAGAGAAACTGGTTTGAGATGATAATGCAGCTAGATAGCTACGTGGTTTATTCACCCTGATCCTACAAGCTAGGGAATAAGAGTGACTGGCCCCCTCTAGTGGTGTGTGTACATGGTGTGTGTGCATATGCACCCACATGTGCATGTACGCAGGTGTGAGGTTGTGTTGAACATCTGAAACAGGGTTTATTCTTCTTTAAAGGGGACACTGGAAAAGTTAGTGACTCAGGGTGACCTTTGAAAAGTTCCATTATTATTCCTTTTCCTAGATGGGCTTCTAAAAAAGAATAAAGACATGTGACTGTTTTGAACAAGGTTGGTGAAATGGAAGCCAGAGTTTGCAGCCTGACTGCTATCCACCTCCCAGCTTTCCACCTTTCCTCTTCTTAGCTCTTTTTGCCCTTAAAAATCATTTTAACTTTAGACTTTGTTTATGTTTACCATATTTACTGAATATTCAACCAAGTATAGAAGTGAAGATAGAATAGGCTACTTCGGATATATTGATTCAGCACTTGATTGAGTGCCTAGGATTTGTGCCTGAGGATATAAGGGTGAACGAGAATCACAGCTTCTCCCTTTATGAGCCTATAGTTTATAGAGAATACAGGTAAGTAGACAAGTAGTTACATTTAGTGTGGTAAGTGCTGTGCTAGGAGAAATGCAATACATGAAAGTTCATGTACGTCCTATGGGAGTACATAGAAAGGCACTTTATCTTTTTGGAATAAGTTGTTAGTTGAGCAAAATAATCATCTTTGTCATTTTTTTTGTTTGTTTGTATATGAAGAGCTTCTTATCTGACGAGTTTTCCTATTGCTGAAAACAATTTGCAAGCCCTAAAGCACTTTGCAGGCTTTATTTGTTGTTATGGCTATGAAAAGACTATGAATCCCCCTAAAAGGCAATGTGAAGCTAATTCAATTTGGCATTGGTCCCCTTGTCACAATACTCAAGTGACTCATTAGTTACCTCTAACTGTGGGAAGTGGAGCCATCAGTTCCTCCTTTCATTCTAATGTACTATATGTTCTGCCCATCAAGGAACCATCTTTTTATCATTAAAGGTAGAGTCACTTGTCAGATCTTTGATCATTTTCATTAGACCTTCCTCTCTGCCACCTTGGATTCAGAATAGGCAATTATACAAACAGAGAAAACGAAAAAGTTATTAATTGAATAAATTATATGAGCTTTTTTTTCCCCAAACAAGTATAGTTTATAAATGACCTTTGATTTGTAGAGTATTATAAAGTATCAGCTGGAACCTCCAACAATAGGAGAAAGATAAAATTGTAAGAAAATCATTATCAAATAATCATCAAAAATGCAACCTCCAGAGTGTGATATGAGGTTTATACATATACAGTCAAGTAATCTGCTCCTTCTACATCTGTTATAGTTAATGATCAATCTTACTGCTTTTAGGTATTTTATAACATCAAGTATTAAAAAATAAATATTTACTTACTAGCCAGGCGCGGTGGCTCACGCCTGTAATCTCAGCACTTTGGGAGGCCGAGGCGGACAGATCACAAGGTCAAGAGATTGAGACCATCCTGGCTAACGTGGTGAAACCCCGTCTCTACTAAAAATACACAAATTAGCTGGGCGTGGTGGCACACACCTGTAATCCCAGCTACTCGGGAGGCTGAGGCAGGAGAATCGCTTGAACCCGGGAGGCGGAAGTTGCAGTGAGCCAAGATCACGCCACTGTACTCCAGCCTGACTACAGAGTGAGACTCCACCTAAAAAAAAACAATTTACTTACTAGTACTGGAAAGCTAACTAGTATATTTTAGAAAAGCTTTAACAAATTAGTGTGGCTACCTGCAGGAGTTACGAGAGCATTGAACTGTGGGGGTCGGGTAGGGAGTGGATTTATTGAATTTTCTGCTATGTTTCAATTTACATGCATTGTCTCATTGAACCCTCTCTAAAACCTGTGAGGTAAGTAGTTTTATCTCTGTTGTATTTATGGAAAAATGAGACTCACTAAAGCATCTTGAGCAACATCACACAGTTAATGAGTGGCATAGACAGAATTTAAATGCAATTTCAGGATGTTCATTCTTAATGAAAAGCCTTTTTAAAAATTATTAAATCATACCGTTTCCTGATATTCTTGAAACCCGAATGCAAGTCATTTTGCCTTCCTGTACCTTGCAATTTTCTCATTTAGATATATGGAGCTTACAAATATAATAATCTCAAATATTCTTTCCTGTACCTTGCAATTTTCTCATCTAGATATATGCAGCTTACAAATACGATAATCTCAAATATTCTTTCCAGTTTTACTTTTCAGTGAAACTGTAGAAAATATTTCTGAATATGACTCAACTTTCTAAAAATTTAAGCAGAATATCCCATTCTCTATTTGTGGGGAGTGGGGTGTCACAATTTTATTGTAAAAAGCATATAGTCAAAGAGTGGGCCAGGCACACTGGCTCATGCCTATAATCCCAGCACTTTGGGAGGCCGAGGTGGGTGGATCACTTGAGGTCAGGAGTTCGAGACCAGCCTGGCCAACATGGTGAAACCCCATTTCTACTAAAAATACAAAAATTAGCAGGGCATGGTGGTGTGTGCCTGTAATCCTAACTACCAAGAGGCTGAGGCATGAGAATCACTTGAACCCGGGAGGTGGAGGTTGCAGTGAGCCAAGATTGTGCCACCGCACTGCAGCCTGGGTGACAGAGTAAAAGTCCATCTCAAAAAAAAAAAGAGCGTATCAAAGATTTAAATTTGATTAGAAACATAGTAGGAAAAGAATGAGACATCGCCAGACACAGTGACACATGCTTGTAGTCCCTGCTATGTGAGAGGATGAGGTGAGAGGATTGCTTGAACCCAGGAGTTCAAGGCCAGCCTGGGCAATATGGAAAAACCCCATCTCGGCCAGGCGCGGTGGCTCACACCTGTAATCCCAGCACTTTGGGAGGCAGAGGCGAGCGGATCACTTGAGGTCAGGAATTCGAGACCAGCCTGGCCAACATGGTGAAACCCCATCTCTTCTAAAAATACAAAAATTAGCCGGGCGTGGTGGCGGGAACCTGTAGTCCCAGCTACTCGGGAGGCTGAGGCAAGAGAATCGCTTGAACCCGGGAAGTGGAGCTTGCAGTGAGCCGAGATCGCGCCACTGCACTCCAGCTTGGGCGACAGAGCGAGACTCCATCTCAAAAAAAATAAAAATAAAAAATAAAAAAATAATAATAAAAGAATTAAAAAGTATTCTTCTCTTCAAAGAGTCTTAACATTCCAAACGTAGGTTGATACAATCAGATCAACTGTTAGGTGAAAGCCTATAATACAAGCCTTGAATTGCTGTCTCAAAATGGAGGTTCTTTTTCTCCATATAACTAGGTTTCTTTTTCTTAGCAGATCCAGTTTGCTGACCAGAAGCAAGAATTCAACAAACGTCCCACCAAAATTGGACGTCGCTCTCTGTCTCGTTCCATTTCTCAGTCATCTACTGACAGCTACAGCTCAGGTGAGTACTGAGCTGCTGTGGACCCAGCTGTTGAGGCTAATAAGTATGATCTCAATGGGCCCTCCTGTCTATCCAAGGCTAATTAAGCATGACCAAGACTGTGCTTTGAATAAAAAATACTCTGAGTTAAAATTTAGACTAAAATTCTGGGTGGAATCTTTGGATTCCTCTTGGCAGTTCAGATTGGAGCTTAATAGAGGCCTCCACTTCCAATAGAGGCAGAAGAGGGTGATTAAGGAAATTGAATTCTTTAATCTACTCAGAAGGGTGGGAATATGTCATTGATGACCTTTCCTGAACAGTGTGTGTATATATTTGTGGGTTTTTTTTTTTTAATCCTTCGAAAATAAAAAAGTTCTTCATCCCTCCATCTGGTACTTGCAAATTAACAGGGAAACCTCAATTGCCCCAAGAAATAAGGAAGACACTGCAGCTAGTTCAAGCAGGTGAGCCCTTTGCCTTCTCCCCTAAGCCGTGACATTGGACTTCTTGTTACTCCTGCCATCCTTTGCACTGGCATTAATTCAAATACATGTGCCCTGGGACTGAGTTATCATTTAATGCCAGGTAAGCTGTTACTGTGTAGGACCCCTTCAAGGCATCGGCCATTTGTGCTAAATGCTGCCTAGTATGAGACTGATTCAATAAGGAGTTAGTTTATTTTGCTCTTGTGTTGGGATGTGGTAGGGAACTGAGTGCTTGCCCTAGTTACCTCTTCACATTATAAATAGTAATATTCATTAGAAAATTTTTATCATGACCTGAAATTTTATTTATTCTTCATACAAATAGGAAAGTAATATTTGTTATATAAAGTTGAAGAACAGTTGTTTGGGAAGCTAGCTTTTAGGCGGGGTAGATTATATACTTTTTACATTTCTCTTTTTACTTTCTCCCCACAGTAACAGTGAATGATGTAAAGCATATGACATCACTTCCTATGGATTTTTATCTAAAGATACAGAATCTTGTACTACCTTTTTTCGGGGGTAGCACAGGATTTGAGACAGGGTCTCACTCTGTCACCCAGGCTGGAGTGCAAGTGGCATGGTCATAGCTCACTGCAGCCTTGACCTCGTGGACTGAAGTCTACTGAGTATCTGAGACCACAGGCGCCCACCACCATGCCTGCCTAAATTTAAAATTTAAAATTATTTGTAGAAATGGAATCTTGCCATGTTGCCCGGGCTGGTCTCGAACTTCTGGGCTCAAATGATTCTCCTCAGCCTCCCCAAATTCTGGGATTACAGGCGTGAGCCACTGCGCCTAGCCGGGAAACTTATCTCATTCTACTGAAATAAGCAGTGTTGAAAATTCAAGAACTGGTTAATGTAACTCTGGAAACCATAATAATTGTGAAAAATGTGAATTGTAAAATAGTTTGTAACATTTTAAGCTGTGGGTTTCTGCATGTAATCTAAAGATTGATACTAAGTAATAATAATAATGTCAAATTTTAACTCCAGCTCAGTCTCTCCCCTACACACTAGATATACATATCCAACTATATTCCTGCAGAGGAAACCAATACCTGCCTTCCCACCCAACCCCTATAGTCAGGAAGTGTACTTTAAAAAATATCTATTTACCTGGAAGAGAGTAATGATGCCCTTGGTTTCTAAGTGAGCACATAGTGACTTGGCATAGCTCGTTGGTAAATGATATGGACTGGTATCGTCCTGGTAAACTTGGACCTTTTAGATTAAACTATATGAAATTACCATTTTTTTAAGTCAAAAATTGCCAACCTAATGTATCTATTTAATGATATTAAGTTCAGGTGCAGGAAGTCAAAACATCCTGGAGAAGAAAAAGAACTTAAAGATCTCATTCGGCTTCCCACTAATTGCTGACCTCTTTGGGAGCATTTTAAATCATAGGATGCTACTTACTATACATAGTTATTTATCTCCTGATAAGTTCTTATATAATCCCTGGAATTTAAAGATTTTATTTAAAATTTGCTGGTTTTGTTTGCCTGATTTGGGGGTATCCCACTGTCCTGGTTACCCTCATCTGGACATATTTCAGATTAGGTATCATTTTAAAAATATTATGCCTATCAACATAATATTCTCAATGGTCTGAACTAATCTACAGGAAGTGTTCCGTAAACTCAGTGCTTTTAAAATGAAACCCAGGCCAGGTGCGGTGGCTCACGCCTGTAATCCCAGCACTTTGGGAGGCCGAGGCGGGTGGATCACAAGGTCAAGGGATTGAGACCATCCTGGCTAACACGGTGAAACTCCGTCTCTACTAAAAATACAAAAAATTAGCTGGGCGTGGTGGTGGGTGCCTGTAGTCCCAGCTACTCTGGAGGCTGAGGCAGGAGAATGGCATGAACGCGGGAGGTGGAGCTGGCAGTGAGCCAAGATCGCACCACTGCCCTCTAACCTGGACCTGGAGGACAGAGTGAGACTCCATCTCAAATAAATAAATAAATAAATAAAATGAAACCCAGACTGTTTGTTTCTTTAGCAGCTGCATCACATGCACTGTTGCTTTGTTTTGTTTTTTGTTTTTTTCTTTTTCTTTTCCCCTTTGAGTGAATGGTTGTCAAGCCCTTTTAAACAAACTCTGACTAGAAATGCCTACTACCTTGATTATTGGACTAGGAGTTAGGAGAGACATAGTTTCTAGTCTTTGATCCATGTTTCATTTGTTGTGTGATGCTGGAAAACTTGCACCTGGCATCTTCATAACTCAGACAATGGAAAGTTATATACAATGATAGAAAAAAGCTTCATGTGCATCGAATGAAAGCCAAGAGTAACGGAACTGACTCACAGCTTTCTAAATAATGACAAGACATATATGCAAATGTGTGTCAATAAGAACTTGGGACCCATTTTCAGCATACAGTATAATGGGTATACATTATTTAAATTATGTATAAAATTAAAAGTCATTTCTATGTATAAAAATTAAAAGTATTTAAATTCAGCATACATTTAAATGACTAGGCTGGGCACAGTGGCTCATGCCTGTAATTCCAGCACTTTGGAAGGCCGAGACAGGCAGATCACCTGAGGTCAGGTGTTCAAGACCAGCCTTGCCAACGTGGTGAAACCCTGTCTCCACAAAAAATATAAAAATTAGCTAGGCGTGGTGGCACACGCCTGTAATCCCAGCTACTCCGGAGTCTGAGGCATGAGAATCGCTTGAACCCAGGAGACAGAGGTTGCAGTGAGCTGAGATTGTGCCACTGCACTTCAGCCTGGGCAACAGAGTGAGACTCCATCTAAAAAAAAAAAAATTTTTTTTTAAAATAATAGTTTAGGCTGGGCGCGGTGGCTTATGCCTGTAATTCCAGCACTTCGGGAGGCCAAGGCGGGTGAATCACCTGAGGCTAGGAGTTTGAGACCAGCCTGACCAACATGGAGAAACCCCGTCCCTACTAAACATACAAAAATTCGCCGGGCATGGTGGCACTTGCCTGTAATCCCAGCTGCTCAGGAGGCTGAGGCAGGAGAATTGCTTGAACCCGGGAGACAGAGGTTGCGGTGAGCTGAGACTGTGCCATTGCACTCCAGCCTGGGCAACAAGAGTGAAACTCCGTCACAAAAAAAATTAATAATAATTTAAATGACTATAGAAATTAAACTGGAAAGCCCCAAAGACTGATCTCTTCCCTTCTCAGTTTATAGTTTCTCCCTAGATGAACTCATTTATCTCATAGGTTTAAATACCGTGTATTGGTGTTTGATTCTCAAATTTTATCCCAGCTTAAATCTCTCTCCTGTATATTAGATTCATATATACAACTGCCTGCTAAGTCCTTTCACTTGAATGTTTTATAGGTATCTCTTTTTATTTTATTCTTTTTTTTTTTTTTTTTAAGAGACAGTGTCTTGCTTTGTTGTCCAGACTGGAGTGTAGTGGCACAGTCATGGCTCACTATAGCCTCAAACTCTTGGGCTCAGCCAATCCTCCCACCTCAACCTCCCTGGTAACTAGGACAACAGATGTGTACCACCACATCCAGCTAATTTTTGAAAATTTTTTTGTAGCGATGGGGGGGTCTCACTTTGTTGCCTAGGCTGGTCTCAAACTCCTGGCCTCAAGCAATCCTCCTGCCAAAGTGCTGGGATTAGAGGCATGAGCCATGGCACCTAGCCCATAGACATCTCAAACCTCCCATGTATTAAAAACTGAGCTCCTCAGTTCCAACCTTACCCATCTTCAGTCTATTCTCAACACTACAGCCAAGTGTATTCTTTTAAAATAAGTCATGCCATATCATTTCACTGCCTAAAACCTTCCAGTGGCTTCCCAATCTCACTCTTAGGTAAAGCCTAAAGTTCTTACAATGGCCTACATTTCTGTTCACCTCTCTACTTCCCTAAACCTCCCCACTCCCCGAGATGTTCATTTCACTCTGGCCTTGCTAGCCTCCTACTGTTATTTTGAAACATGCCAAGCACTCTCCTGCTTCAAGACCTTTGTACCTGTTCCCTCTGCCTGGAATGCTCTTTTTCCAGATACATGCATGGCTGGCTACCTTACCACCTCCAGTTCTTCACCAAAAATCATCAACTTCTCACTGAATCCTATCCTGGCTACTCTTTTAAATTGTACCCAACATGGTGACTATAGTTAATAACAATGTGTTGTATTCTAGAAAATTGCTAGGACAACAGATTTTAAGTGTTCTCACCACAAAGAAATGATAGGGATATGAGGTAATGCATATGTTAATTATCTCTGTTGAGCCATTCCACAATGTGTACATATCTCGAAATGTCATGTTATACACATAAATATGTACAATTTTGTCAATTAAAAATTCATTAGAAATAAATACTATACAGAACTCCACCCAACATTCTCTATCAAATTTTCCTCTATTTTTCTTCATGGCACTTACCATATAACATATATATGTTACTAATATGTTTTGGTCTTTTCCCTTCTACTTAAATGCAGGATCCATGAGAACAGAGATTTTTTTTTTTCTTTTTTTTTTCTGTTTTACATTGCTGTATTCCCAGCACTTAGAACTGTTTGACACAAAAGAGGTACTCAATAAATACATATTGGTGAAAGGTGTTCAGAGACATTATACTTTTATACCCTTGTTGAGGTCTCTAATATACTCAGTGTGTGTGAACAACAAAAGCAGGTTTATGAGATTTCAAAAAAAGATACTTTCCTGTCCAAAGTGCTTGTTTTGCTGAAGATACTCAGAGGCTTACATAGGCTGTAGCCTCCTCTCCCTTCCTAGGGATCCTAGTACTAAGTTTTGCCATGCTTTCATTTAGAAACCTCTACCAGCTTTTCTCAACCAGGGATCCTCATCTGAATCACAGAACACAGAAAATGATTTTATAGACTTTCTTAATTTTCCAAAAGATGATACATGACTAGTACCTTTCCAGATGTGTGGAAGAGAAGTTAATTCATTATGTACGATGAATGCTTCAAGGCATTAGGACTTAATTCTAGCAGAACCCAGGTTGAACAACGCTGCATTAATCCATGGAACTATTTTATAAGAAGCAAACTTCTAAAAAACTCTTCCCCTAAGGAAAAAAACCTCATAAAAACAAATGAACAGAAGAGACTTTTTTTTTAATCAGACCATTCTCAGTGATATATTTCTGAATAAGCTGTCTTTGCAGTGAGTTACTTGGTTAAGAATGAAGAGAGAAGACAGGAGTCCCTTCTTCACAATTGGTTCTTTTTTCCCCCAAACTCTACAATTCTTATAAAGTTTGAGATATTTTCAGATTTTTCTGAACAACAAAGTTTTGTTTGTTTGTATTTGAGATGCTAACATAGCTTTTTACATTCATCAGTGAAGTCTGCTATAACCAGACACACAGGTCCCTACTGTTACTTCCATTACCAAATGAATAGGTTAGTAGGTCCCTACTGTTACTTCCATTACCAAATGAATAGGTTAG